TAGTTTTAGAATATATAACTAAAAATAAATTTTGTTTAATTAATTATTAAAGATCAATAATTCTATTTCATTTCATAATTTCTATTTCATTTCAATTTCAAGAGTTATATTTATATATAGACAAATATAAATAATAATAATAATAATTTATGGATTTATTCTATTTATGATATAGAATGAAAAAATAGAATAATTAGATAGAATAATTATATTCAAATATTTTACATACATAGTGACAATAAATTATTTCCAACTTCTAACTTCTTTATATCTAACATAAATTCTATACTAATTTAAGATTTTTACAAAATAAAAAGTAAATTTCGTAAATTTATAAAAGATAAAATCCTATAATAAACATAAATTGTAACTTGCAATAAATATAAAGATAAATAAAATAATTAGTAATTAAATTAATATAATTAAATAATTAATTCTCTATTCTACATATCAATTAAAAAAAAATTGATCGTAGAAACTTATAAGAATAACAAGTGATTCAAAAAATATATAAATCAATTCAAACTCTCTTTTCAACTCATATTAAACAACTTATTATATATAATCTTTATGAAAAATATTAATAAATTATTGTATTTATTATATCATTTACACACTACTGAATTATACCAAATATTACATGTATTAAATTTCTTATCATTTAATAATATTTTCATATGATTACAAAAATTTGATGAAAATAAAACATAGAATCTGATTAAAAATTATTTCATTGAAAAAATAAGGATACATATACAAATATTTTCTCATCAATCATTGTATATATTTATTAATATATTCCTTACCTGTTGATGATAACGCTGATAATCATTCCCTTTTATTGCACCAGAAATAGCGTTAAAAAATCCAATGATGAAAAACAGCCTCGCGAAACAATACAAAGACCCATTTAAGAACATTTTTCTGATGAAACTTCAAGAATCCGGAAATGAGTATATACGTTGAAAGATATAAAGTACTTGTTGCGAGGAATATTTCTCTTCCTGTTTTCGTCTTCTCTTCGTCGCTTTGTGATCCTCTTAAAACGTAGGGGGGAAGAGCGCGTGGAGTTGGCGTCAGAACAAACTGGAGATTGTGTGGCGTCGCGACGCGCGGCGTCCCTCTTATAGTCGCTAGACCAGTCCGCGATTCGTTCACGTTGCGCATCCCCGAACGCTTGCAACGTAACTGGCGACGATAACGTTGATAAAATGGTTTACGTTCTCTCATATACCTTTCCATGGCAAGGCTAAAAATCTTTTAAAACTAGTGGAGATTTTAAAGCATCTCTTGATATCTATTGAGAAGGATATTGTATAGAAGGAACCGATAAAGAAAAATAGAATAGTATATTGTAACTTTTGGCAAATAATTTTTCTTTTTTTGTTATACATATAAGAATTATCAAAGAAATTTTACTATGAATTTATTTATTATTTATTTATTATTTATTTATATATTTATTTATTTATTTATTATGAATTTTATATAATAATTTGGAATTTTACGGATAAAAATTGATGAAAATAATATTTATATTTTTATTAATTATTAATTATTATATTAATTTGAGTCCTAAAAGAATCTTTGGGAAAAATTTAATAATTAATATTATTATTTGGTTTAAAAAAATTACTTATGATGCTATTATCGGTGTAAGCAAAATTAATAATGACAAACAACGAAAAGAAAAAACGTTTTACGTGATCAAACAATAGTTCCCTAAGAAAGCTGTGATCGTAAATCTCGGGAACGTGATTTAATAAAATTCAGAAACATCCCAGTGAATAATTCAAGTCTCCATTGAAGGCATCGAATTTATTCTAGTAGAATGAACCAGAACACTTCGTATTATCGATACTTTGATAAATACTTGATTCGTATTCTTATTCATGTTCGATTAAAATATTTATTGCTTTGTCTCATTCAAAATTCCATGCAAGAAAATGCTTCTTTATTAATTCTGATTCTTCAGATTCGGAACATCTTCTGACAAGTTTGGAAAATTCCAAAGTTTTCCAAAAAGAAACGATAAATATCCATAGAGAAATAACATAAATATCTTCAAAAATGTTTTAAAAATGATATCTATATATTAAATAAAAAATTAAATATTCTCCAAACTATTATGAAATAAAATAAAAATATTTAGAAATAAATAAAATAAATTTCTATAATCTTGAAATTAAAGAGAAAAATAATATAAATATTTTTTAAAAAAAAGAAGCATTTGAAAATCTAAAACTAATAATAAAATGGAGGAACTATAACAGATTGTTCGAAATCAATAGATAAAAGTAATTAGCTAAGAAGGTTAGTGTTTTTTCCAAAAATACAGCCAAGCTTCCAATCGTACACTTTATGGCAATTACTAGTTCAGATAAACATCACGGTTAGTGGTCTTAATTGATTTTGGTCCCATGGGGGATGAAACGTGAGCGGCCATATTGTACATTCGGCATATCTTCACTTTCCTCGCAATTGGTGATACTGAGAGATCATTGTTCTTTTTCCTGCAGGAGGTCAATATTTATTGCAATTTACTTATCACGCATTGAACAATTTTTCTACTTCTTTGGAGAAGTAAAGCAACATTTAATTAATCCTTCCATTACATTTTGATCTATAGAATATTTTTTAAATAATTTATTGAGCAAAAAATGATAAAAGAAATATTTTTTTTGTCGAGCAAACAGTATATGTCCGATTTCTCTTTGTATTTTGGAAACAGAATTCTAATGATTAAAAATGTGATCGAGCAACTATATACTGTTTTGCAATATATATAATTACATAATAATCATAAAAATTTCTTTTTTATAATCAACATTATGTATATTTTTTTTAAAATTAATAAATTTTTTATTTAATTTTATAAAAATGTTTATAATCTGAAAAAATATAATTTTTTAATTAAAACAATTTTGTAGTTATTTAATTTTTAATTAATTAAAATTGAAAATAATATGAATATTACATAAGAAAAGAAAAAATGAAAAGTTTATTTTCTATTGTTGTCTAAATTCCATATTCATGCAAGTATGACATAATCAGTAACATGAATGCCCTTCTATTTCAAACTGCAGCCGCAACATCATGCTTACTTTTGCCTTGTTATCTACCAGACACTTGTTTCAACTGTATTCACATCTTCTTTGGAGATAAAGTCGTTAATTTTAACTGGTAAATTTTAATAACTTAATTAAATCCAATGAAGAATTCCATTTATTCCTCAGTATCATATATAATTTTAATAAAATATTTTATTTAAATATTTTAATAAAAAAAAATTGGTAAATTCAAGGAAGAGAAAATCTTATCAATAAAAAAGGGGAAAATTTTTTGAATAATTGATTACATAAAGTAAAAGATAAAATAAGATTTTCTTTTACGCATAAAAGTTTTTTTTTCAAAAAATTATTTCTCTAGGGATATGATAATTTTCCTTTTAGTTTAGTAGGTAATTTTCCTTTTAGTTTACATATTCGAAACTTGGAAAATTTGAATTTTCATGTTACTTTTTTCTGATCAATAATATGAAGATTATATAATCGATTCTACAATCTTCTTAATCTTTAGAGGATCGGAAATTCATTGTAATAGTTGAGTCATGATAAGATTTTAAAACTACTTGTGTAAGAGTTATAAATGCATTTATATAATTGTATTAATGATTAATTTTTTTAGAAAATGATTAATGATCAATGAATAATAATTTTAAATAGAAAAATTAATCACTGTTAATATAAAATCTTTTTTTCATATATACATTAAGAAATTCTCTGTATATAAATATTTACATATAAAAAAATAATTAAATTTTAAATTTAATTTTAATAATTAATTATAATAAATTATTTTAAATTTAATTATTTAATAATAATTTTTTTTATTATAATAATTTTTTAATTATTTTTTAATAATTAAATTCTAAATTCGTTATTTAGAAATTTTTTTTTACTTACTAAAAATTATTATTAAAAAAGGAAATATTTTTAAATTTTCGATTCATATATATAATCAAATATATTTACTTAAACTTGAAAATTTTTTATATTTAAAAACAATCTAGTGATACTTTTTTAACATATATATAAGATAAAGAATGTGAAAATGTGAATAAATTAATAAAATTCAATTTCTTCATCATAGTCGAAGTATAATTATTAAAATTAATAATTTTTGAAAATTTTTTAAAATATCTCTTTAAAAACTCTTTAAAAATTCTTTAAAACATTGTACATTATATAAATTGTAATTTTTAAACAATTTTAAATTCATGTTAATCATTTAACTTACATAGAGAAATTTTATTCAAATAAAATATATCATTACATAAATATGTTATATTTAAACTATTCTATATACACTAATTATCAAAAGTCTAAATTTGAACTAATTTTAATAAATTTTATTTATTATCATAAAAATTGAACAAAAATTAATATATTTTATACAATTCTTAAATAAAGAAAGACATTTATTTTATATAATATATATATCAATACGTATAATATACATATCAATCTTACTGCAGAAATGATAGTGTTGTTTAATATATCAAGAAATTCCTTTTTATTCTCTTTTTTTCTCTAAACTTATTTATATTGATTTATTTATTTATATTATTATTTATATTGATCTTATTTGCTCTGCAAATACATATATAAAATATTGAAAAAGATCTTTTACAATTATAATTTACTTTACATAAAATCTTGGTAGTTAAATATTTTTTTGACTTTATGTAGATATTTGATGAGAAAAAACTATTTAATCTGGAATTTCAGGAGAATAAACATCAAACAGAAATAATTTCACTATATGATTTTGAAAATTTTGATAAAAAACATCGATCAATTTTTCCCATACATAAAAAGAATTTAATATGTTTAACGATACAATTCATCAATCAAGCAAAAAAATTAATAAAAAATTTGATAAAATATTTGAAATTGAATAATAATTATTATAATACCTAATAAGACGATTATAATATTTTAAGGACGAATGTGAGGTGGGAAAGGTAAATCTAAATGCGAAGGCTCTATATGACTTCTATCGTGCCATCCTTCTGCCACAGGAGTGTGATACAGTCCATAATTCACACCATTCGTAGCTATTTTCTTCAGACCCTGAATACTGGATAATATCAAAGCCATCTTGGCTAGAAGCAATGCCTTACCACCAAGGACTGCAAGGAATTGAAAACCCATAGGTATTAAGATCGAACCCATCAGCAGAAAACCCATCATCATAAGTGGCACCATGTGGTTATGTCTGCGACGGTGACGACGTCTACGGCCTAATAATTATCATTTTTTAAATTAGTAATAATTTTTTTTTAGGAAATATACATGTTTTATATGTATTATAGAAAAAATATGATTCACAAATGAAATTTTAAATATGACAAATATTCAAAAAAATTAAAAAATAATCAAATTCAATATCATACGATGAATCTTGGAAAAATTTGAATAAGAATGAAATAGCACATAATATAATATTTTTTACAATTTTCATTTGCAATTTTAAATTTCTATAATATAAAATAAAAAATATATAATATGTATAATGTTATTATACAAACCTTCGAACTTATAATTATCTACATTGGTTTTTGAATTATTAATAAAAGAAAGTATATTATTAGTAAAACGGTCCACATCGATTTTGAACACGTGGGTATGTAAAACTCGTAAAAATCTTTTCATAATAATGGCTGTCCAATTAGTATTATCATCTATATTACTGAAATATATAAGTAAAAGAAATAATCATGAATATATTCTACTTTTTTGTGTTTCATAGAACTTTTTTATAAAATTATTTTTAATTATATTATTTTTTATAAAAATTAAATATATATGTTATTTTCAAAAATATGTTAAATGTATATGTTATGTTTCTATATAAATCAACAAGTAATAGGATATTCAGTTATTTATGAAAAAAATTACGAAAAAAGTTTTAACATATATTGCTTGTCACAAAAGATTGCATAATTTGTTCGTAAAATATACATAAGCATTTTTTAAAGATCTATTAAAAATATTACCTTTCTTTATCATTTGTAGAATTCATTCTATCTTTTTGATATCTTACTAAAACTAGCCCTTCAAATATTGGTATAATATCATCAGCCAAAAGAGTATCTAAAGCAATTAATACATGTTCCTGCACACATTTCCTAAACGTCTCTAAAAATTCATCTTTTCTAGAATTATTCCAAGATTCCAATGGACAATTCTTAAACACAGTGCGTAGACCGGCATACCAATTTATATTACCATCACTTCTAGCGTCGCCAGCCATAAGGATGACAAATATGAATACGTAGAATGCACGTAGGTGCATCTATATTCAGGAAAACAATCACAAACTTTAATAGCCAGTTATAATAACTTGTAAAGCAATAAAATTTAATCTGTCTAAATCTGTCTAAATTACAAGAATGAATTTCATTTTGTTCCAGCCGTATTAATATTATTAGTATAGATTATAGATATAGATTATGCAATAAAAATAATTTTTAAATAATTAATTTAGAACTATTTTTTCTTTAATTTTTTTTTTAGAAACCACTATTTAAAAAATATCTCTTTTTTCATCTTATTTTTAATGTACAAAATTCCTTAATAATATTGTGAACTTTTGAATACGTTTCGAGAATACGCATTCATGAAAAATCTGAGAATTGCTTTTTAATGAATTTAAATTTAAATGAATTATTATTAATATATAAGATTTGCAATAAAATTATTATATAATTTATAATATATTATTATAATATATTATTATATATAATATTATATATAATATATATAATATATTATTATAATATATTAATATATATTATTATAATATAATAATATATTATTATAATATATTATAATAATATTATGTATAATATTATAATATATTTTTATTAGATTACAATATAGAACACGTTAGAAATTTATTATTCAAAATATTAAAAATAAATATCCCTTAAACAATACTTTTTTTTTAATATTCAGGATTAACTTTTTATAGCTTTACAATAATTATAATCCAAAATCATTTGTTCACTGATAACGTTACTTCGAAATACGAGTACACTACTGAAGATATGTTTTCCAAATAAATCGCAATTCACTATAAACGTTCATTCATAGCTACATGGACATTTATATGAGCAGGAAATAGGCTAGAATGCCGGCCAACTGACTATTACGATTCATCGAAGGGCAACAAGACAACGGTCAAAAGGCGGCACTTTTTATGCTCTAACAATCCTGGTTCGTAATTATCAACGAACTCTTCAAAATTGCATAATTAGTAAATTGATCTCTCAATAATGATCAGTAACATTGAATTTGAATGATTGTACAAATAAAATCTAAAAAAAATTAAAATTTTTTAAATAATAATAAAATTATTATAAAATTAAAGTTGAAATAAATATATAAAAAATAATTAAGTAATTTTAAATAATTAATAAATTTTTTATTTTATTGAGATAAAAATAGTAATAAAAATGTAAAAATATTAAAATTTATATTTTTTTCTAAATATAAATATCTCGTAGAAAATTTGTTTATATAATTACAAAATATCTACCAATTATTAAAAGCATTATATTAATGACTGCAATTTTCTTTCTTCTCAAACGGTACATCTTTAAGGCACATTACTTTTCTAAAAATTAATGGTTTCGATAAGATTACTAACTGTACATTTATTCCGTAAGAAATTATAGCATTGAATATCCTTTATAATAAATTTGAAAATTTACAGTAAATCTTTTGTGAAATAAATGAAGGATAGGTGATAAAAATAATATTAATATATTTATTTAAAAAAATTGTATAAAAAATGCATTTTTACAACAAAGGTACAAACTTTATTAAACGTTGATGCTATGACAATATAACAATTAATATTTTTAATCGCAAATATGAAATATACATATTTATCTTACCGAATCAGTTAACCTATAAATACACCTTTTAACCGTTAATTTCATACCAGCAATTAAAAAAAGCATCTAAGCTAGGCCATACAATAAAAGTTATTCGAAATATTATTTCGAAAAACATTGGTACTCTATCGAGTATCTAATACTTTGATTGCCAAGAAAATAGATAAATTCGAAATATGAACTTTCAAGTTCGACTATTCATACATTTGTTATAAATATTAATTTAACTTTATTATTATTAATAAACTTTAATTACATACATGTGTTAATTATAGTAACCATCAGTAATTCAGTAATACTCGATTAAATTTTAAATGACTCAATTTTGTTTTTTTTTTCACCATTCATAGTGAGACTATTTTAAGTCTCAATGATTGATAACAGTAAAAAAAGAGAATACATATAATTAGAAAAAATAAACTTGTTAATGAACAATCTATTGTTATTATTTTTATAATGATAAAATGAAAATTATAAAAAATAAATTTTTTTTTGCATGATTATTTTTTTCTATTGCAGCATTTTTTCGAAATATTAAATATTAAATCTTGCCTGCCGTTTTTCAAAGTATTGTATTTATCCTGTTAATTATATATTTTCTCATTCTTTTTGAAGTAAATTCAATCAATTTAAAACAAAAAACATTATCCTGGAAATTTTAATGTCTACTAAAACTGTCTACTAAAACTTCTTAAAATTTAACGGATCATTATTGTAATATTTAATGCATTTTAAATTGAAGTAATCACTAATTTTTTTATTTTTATTTTTTTCAAAATTATTGAGATATAATGAATTCATTTAATTGTTATTGTTATTCTTATTAATTGTTATTTGAATATCATAAAATTATTGTACTAATTACCGAACGCAACGTTTAATAATGCCGAATATCTATATATATACATGACAATTTATGAATGTATGAATTGTCAAAACTATGATTTCATATTTTGCATCTGCCCTATAAAAATCAATTAAGTTTTATTTTAATGAGCCACAAATATCATTCAGAACTATATTTGTTATTTTTACTTTTATGTGTGAAATACATATGTCTCTTTTTTATTTTGTAAAAAGAAAATATCACATGCTGCGGCAAAAGTAGCACTAAATACATTATGAGAAGTAAATTATAAAAATATATCATATTAAATTATACAAGTTAAAAAATCAATTAATTCTAATAGATTAGAATACATCTCTTATTTTTAGAAATACAACAATCTACTTCTGAAAAATCGTAGATAACCATTTAAATACGTATTTTTTAACAACATTCGATATATATAAATAAACGAAAGTAAAAAGAAATAAGAAATATCTTTTTTTTAAATATCTCATTTATGTAAAAGAAAAATTTTTTTTTAGAAAAGTTATCATAATTCTTTGATATAACGTTAAAAAACAAATCTTTTATCAATATCATATACAAGAAAATTTTCATCAACACGAACGTAATAATATAAATGAAAATATTCTCAATAATTCAAAATGAAATATTTAAATGAAATAGTTAATGATAATGATGAATTTTTTTGAAACATCACAAATTCGAATGTGGTGTTTTTTAGAAAGAATTCAATAAATTCTTTTAACAAAAAAGGTTTTCTTAGATTATTGAAAAATGGACTCTATTAAAGTTTTACATTAGCTTTGAGATGCCCAAAAATAAATATCATTTAAAGGAAATGAAGAATATGGAGGAAAATGTGAATGATGATCATAACTTGGCATAGATAACGCTGAAAGATTTGATTGCGATCCTACTGGAGAAATATCGGCAGGTGTATCTTCTGTACAATAAACATGTACTGTATCTGAAGCAGCAACAACCTCTATTGCAGATTTATTAACTTTCGAAACTGTCACCGGAACGTCCACCGAAGTAACAGTGATGGGAACTGAAGATTCCAATCTATTTGAAATTGGCGTTCTTTGACAGCGTACTAAAATGTTCGATGATTCCGACTGTAATGATTTTTGACTTGTGGACGTTTTGAATGATTGTCTATATCTGTAATATTTAAAAATATTAATATTATAGAAAAATATATAAGTTCAAAATAAAAAAAATAATATAATAACTAATATTAGTATAATACAAAATATTAAAATACCTATTATTTTGTATTCCCATACTGATACATGCAGCCAACAAATCTTCATCATCCTCGTCACCATCGCTCACTTGCTCCTGATCTTTTTCAACTTCTCCATTACTAATTTTTTCTTCCAAAGAATCTAATTTGCTATTTTTATCTAATTCATTCAACGATTCTTTTAGTTCATTCTGAGATTTAGAAATATTCGTTATTTTCATTTCATCGTCAATAGTTAAAGAACTGAGACTAGTAGCTGTAGAAAATTCAATAGGAGTTGATTCTTCTTTAAATGTGGCAATATCATCCTCGAAAACACTGGTTCTCAGTGTGTGACATTTCGAAAATGCTGAAAATAATATCTATTAAAAAACTAGTAAAGAATTTAAGAACATATTCATCGAAATATTCTTTAAATTAAAATTCTTATAATTAATCTTTCACTAACGATCAATAGCATTGCATACATAAATGTCGAACCGACGGTCTTACTGCTTCTTCTGGTATTTTGGTTATAAAATCTGCACATTGATTTTTATGATTATGAGGACTTGGAGGGATAGTTTGTGTGGGTGAATCTGGTAATTCACTTGGAGATACAACACCACTAGTCCTTCGGCTATTAAACATGAATTCTAGTATAATTATTATTATAAATTTTTTAAGATAATTTATTCTATAATTTATTCTATTAAATTACCTGAAATCACTATGAATAGAACTACGATCATCATGTATAGAATGTTGTTCAAATCCACTTAATGAACCCAGAGAACTACAACGTGAAAACATTAAAGGAGTTTGTTCTGCATAATAATCTTGTCTGCTGAATGTAACCATTTTTCCTGAAATAATGAATACAATAAATATAATTAAAATTTTTTATATTTTAAAAATTTACAAAATATAAGCATAATAAACCTTCTTTATCTACAACTCTAGAATTATTTTTTCCTTCTACAGAGTTATCATTTTCATCAGGAATACGTAATATATTAATATTAGTACTAGTTGTAGTATGATCTGCTCTTTCTGAAATTTCTGGTACATTATCAGTTTTGTCAGAAGAATCTGTAGAAGGTACTTTAGAAATCCCAGTAACATTATTTCTTTGTGTTATTGCACTACTTAGTGAACTTAGAGAATTAGCACGAGATAAGCCATTAGATGTTCCTGTTTGATAATAATTAAGCAATTTTTCAGAAGAAAGACAGGTAGGTTTACATGGTTCAGAAATGGTTTTAGAAACTTCTAATTCCTTCTCAACAAGAAGTGAACGATCTTCATTACAATTGATTGTCAATGTATGTTTATAATTTGAATCTTCTTTGAGACTAAGTTCAAGAACTTTTTTATTAAGCTTCTTCTGTGAATCAACAGATTCTTTTGTATCTTCAAGACGCAAGTCAGACATAGAAGTTGCAGTTGAAAAATTAAAAGGTGTTTCATATGGAGTTCCTTCAGTACAATATGTTTTTACAGTATCTTCTTGTACACTTCCTGGAAAGTATTCAGCACTCTGTTTTTCGTCATCGTCAGTATCATCCTCGGCATATCGTAAACTATAATCTGTTGGCTGATCAAGATCAGTTTCAGCATAATCTCCAAATAAATCTACTTTGGAATCACGTTCTCCAAATTCTTTTTTACAAGATCGATCAGTTCGAGAACAGTGCTCAATTGAATGATTTTCAATTACTGTTTTTCTTTCGTTATACTTTTTGCTATAATCCACTGGTTGTTCAGTCGTCTCGTCCTCATATTTTTGTTCATTTCTTTCCATACCGATTAATTTTTTATTTTTTCACAATTTTTCCTTATTTGTAAAAATATTTTTGCAAAGAGTTTATAATTTTATCGATTAATTAAAAAAGGAAAAAAACAAACTTCGAATATGAAGAATAATTATTAAATTTTTTTTTAATAAATTAATGATTAATTATTCTCACCATTCCCAATAACTTTCGTGTCAACTTTAATCATTTCGCATAGTCGACCAAGGTAGACCACAAGGTTGACATTGTACAACATTAAATACCAATATATCGATTGCAGCGCAATCTAGGATTGTTAAGCAAATGAAATGAACATACACAAAAACGTGTTCAAATATGTATCAAACGATAAGAAATATTGTATTTTATTTCACAAAATCTTCATTCTATTCAAATATTTTTAATTAATACGAATATAATATTAAATAAGTTAGAATTGTATAAAGTTTTTTTAATTTTCATATTTATTTTAGGAAAATTTTATAAAAATATAATGAGAATATTTTTTCGAAGATTTTATAGAAAAATATTTTAAAATATTTTTGCAATCAAAAGGAATTTATTGAAACATCTTTTATAAACGATATAAAAAGATTAGTTACAGGTTCAATTCAATAATTTTTTTCTTATTATAAGTTTTCCTATTATAATACAATTTAACCTCGTCCTCTTCCTGCTTGAGATCCTCCAGGTTGATTTTGTTGATTAAGCCAAGGTGCAGAACCTGTTCCTCTACCTCTTTGATTTTGACCTCTACCTCTTCCACGAGCTAAAACAAATTAATAAATAAATAAGCAAACAAATTAATTGAACATTTCATAAAACGTTATAAATCAATGAAACAAAAAGTATATTTTATTTAAATATTTGCATATTTTGGAAACAAAATATCTTATAAAAAAACCTTGGGCACGTAAGATAGCAGATTTTCCTCTGCCTGCGGTTCCTGAACCTTTTCCTCCTGGTCGTTTAAACATTGGCGCGTTCTTCAACATATCTGGTAATATGAGAAATCTAATCTTCGAACCTCTAATATAAACGTTTTCTAATTGCACCTCATGACCATCCCTATAAGTTACAGTAATATTTTGCATTTGACAATTCATATTGTCTTCGGCTTCTATCAATTTGCCGCGATATACTTCGCCAGTATTTGTTTCACAGGTTATGGTATGACCTTCCGCTTCATGGAGTACTTTTATCGGTACTCCGATCGACATTTTGGCTTTTTCTTATACTAATTCAAATAACACACTGAAATTTTTTTTTAATTAATTCAAAATTAAAGACTCTTTCGATTAGAAATATTGAAAAACACATACAAATTATAGACGCACACGATAACCTCTTCTATTTTGCCTAACGTTTATACTATGCTTACAGTTCGATACTCACAATAAAGACAAACTCAAGCGCATGCGCATTGAATTAATTTATAAATGAGGCGCGAACGAAGTACAATTATTACTTTAATTTTTATTAATTATGCATTATTTATTAAAAATAAAAATTAAAAGCATTTTTTTAAATTAATTAATTTTTTAAAAATATTTAAATTAATGTGTTATTTTTTTTTACAAAAAAAAGACTAAAATAAGAAAATAGAACAGTTCTATTTTCTATTTTTAAATAATCATATATTTATTGGTCATTAATTTTTGAGTGCTATCACGATATGATAACACAATATGAAATAATCATTAAACTAGTGATCATAATCTTATTTCATGCCAATATTTTTACATATAATTTGAATAAGCAAAAACTTAGTTCGTGCCTTCTATGTCTTATTGTCCTAAGATTGCATTGCAACTTTTATTTAGTTGCTAAGAATTAACATTAGGAAAATTATTATTAATTTCTTCAATCAATAAATTATATCGATTGATTGAATCAATAAAAATGGCAGACATACTTGAAAGTGCACATTATGTACAATTTTGCAAAGCTTGATTAAGCTTGATTAAGCTTGATTAAGCAAATAACTTTATCTGCCGAATCTTTTTCAGGGCGGTAAATTTATATATATATATAAATATATATATATATATATATATATATATATATATATATATTTTGTTAAATATACATAAATATAATTAACTATAATTATAAATATTCAAGAATGATCGTGAGAGAGATCGATATATACGATCAAAGAGAGATTTATAACAAGGAGGTACGTGGAAACGAAAGTAGAAATCTTATGGATCATAGGCGTAGAAACAAATAACACATTGAGATAATTTTTTTTCTCATCTACGAAAGAACCTAAGATATACTACATCTAATATATTCTTGTCAAAAGGATGATAAAATCGTAACGATACATGTATGAATAAAGTCGACGTTATTTCTTTCCTTTTAATCGCTTAAATATACTAATATCAATCGTGTAATAATTACAAGCATTGTTACGTCCTTAATGTAATCAGCAAAGTACGAACACTGTTTTATCTATCCTTTTCCCGATTCGTTTTATTTTCTCATTTTGAAATTATTTTCCTTACTTTCATTCATTCGATCGTTCATACTCTCGTTTGTTCTTCATTTTTTCTTTCTCTGTGTATCTATGAATATATCATCATTGTCATTCACTCGTCATAGGCAAAATTCTACTTCCAATAATATCATGATACAATCTTAGAAAAATATGCTATGCCTAAAATAGGATGAAGGCCTGAAGGCAACCATTCCGTCGATATTATTGATAATCGGTGTGCGTACCTCCTCTTTATACATGATTTCAATTTAGTTGACACTTTTCCCTCTAAGATGTGCGCCAAAACGAATATATCATTGTGTAACCAATCTCAAGAAAGCAATTGCAAGCTTATTTTTTTCTTCTCAACAATTATTAGGATTTTTCTACCGCGAAAAATGTTAAATAATAATCGTATGATTTCAATAACTATTATATAACTGTTTATATAAATAACATTTTTAATTTCTTTCGTTGAACATATGTTAAAACTCATTTTAAGTGATATGATTTAATTATAATAATGATTTATTAATATTGCCAATTGACAAATTGATTAAAAAAAATAATAAATTATAAATTCTAGCATTATTTGTAAAAAAAAATAAAAAATATATAATTTCAACAAAGTATAATTTTTTTCAATTATAATAGTTATATCGAAACAATACGATTTTTATTTTTAACATTTTTTTCATACGATGATTACAAAAATTGAAAAATTATGATTACTAAAAAAGTCTCATTCTGTACACATAATAATATATTGTCCAATATAGACATTATGTATTGTTTATATGTATGTGTATCTGTGTATGGAATCACGGTAATTGTAGAATATATGTAAAATTCTATTACGAGCAAGATCCTTCTTATTTTTCAAAAGTATACAATTATCTACTATTATAAAATAAGAATCATCCATAACGTGGCACTGAAATTAAGAACGATTCACTTTATTCTATTAACGTAATTAATACAAGGATTTCTTCTTTCTTTGTATTTCATAAGACGATTTTTCGTTTCGATAGTTTTTCTTTATCGTTATATCGGCTATCACGCAAAACTTCAAAGGACGAAGGATCGATAATCGATTAGAAAGAAAACAAAGAAAAACAATGAAACAATTATTTTTAAAGACAGCAAAAACATGGTGGTACGATACACAGTGTGGTGTTTTCTGTCTCTCTTTTTTTTTATGTTCTCATTCATTCATTCATTCATTCATTCATTCATTCATTCATTCTCTCTCTCTCTCTCTCTCTCTCTCTCTCTCTCTCTCTCTCTCTCTCTCTCTCTCTCTCTCTCTCTCTCTCGCTCTCTCTTCTCGCTTGTCTTTAAAATCACAAAAGACCCAATGTGACGACTATCGATTTTTCACAAAAAAGACAACGATACGCGGGAAAAGCAATTCTGAAAATTCACGAAGCAACAAGGACAATTGTATTTTCCTTGTTTTTTTTCTTTTTTCTTTTTTTTTTTTTTTATAACAAATTGCTTCGTACAACATGTTTTTGAGTTTTTTTAATAGAAGCGACATAAAACTCAATACCTACTTCTTTTTCTCTTTCTCAACTACGATCTAGTCTAAGAAGAGTCAGAGATACGCTGAACAAAAGATTGAAACTTATGTTTCTTTCATATGTTTTCCTTTTTTACGATTTTTTTTTGTTTTGTTAAAAAGTATTGCAACACGGAAGGAAATGGTTAAGACAAACGGAGAAATATTTTTTTATTAATCGATATAACAGGGCCGATAGTCGTCCCTTCGTCGAGGGGCCTCTCGTTTGTTATTATTTTTCTTTTGTTTTTATATCTGGCTGATCTTTAGACGTTTCATCATACAAAGTGTATTTTAGCACCAATATAACAAATTTTATTTAGAAGAATAGAAAAAAAAAAACAAGAAAACCGACTGAATGAGTCACGTGACACAACCTAATTTTATTTTGGAAATATTATTCTGATAATCAGATGAATATTACATCTCTATTTTGTTTTTTTCTTTTTTTTATGATGATTCATAAACACATGGCATAAATAATTGATTTGCGATATAGTTTGAAACATATTTAATAAGGAATAATGCTTGGTTATATTCACGTGAAATTGGACATAAACACACAGTACTACTTATATTTCATTGCATTATTTATGAATCAATAGACTAATATACTTAATAATTATTAGACTAATTATTAACCTAGGATTGTGATCACCCATCAACGTCAGCCACTACCTAAGCAACATTCCTTCTTTCTTTTTAGATATTACGAACGAAACAGAGAGAGAGAAATATAGATTATATACATATAAAAAATTTTCTTTGTTCCTCTCTTTCGTTCGCTCTCTCTCTCGATTCAAAAACCGGAACTCCCGATGAGACGTCTCAGAACATGACCGATCAAAACTGCACCAAGAATTCTCATATTTTTTATTCCTAAAGCTAAATCTAAAAAAAAAAGAAGAAAGAAAAAAGAAAAAAAAAAGAAAAAACAAACACTTCCATACACGAATTTTGCATTTCTTTTTTAAGTAAATTAATAAACATAAGATAAAATAATAATAAACCGTAATAGATAATAATAAGGTAATAAGTAAGCTGGCAGCAGTTAGAACCAAATATATTCTCGATTAAAACTCTCGCTTAGATGACAATCTGACATGGCACTAACATCCAAAAATTTTCTCAAAGCATTCGTACACGCGGCACGCACTCTAATTTCTATTTCTTTGTTTGTTTTTCTTTTTTTGCTTTTCGTTTTAATCTTTCTTTTCTATTTATGTTTCATTCTTCCTTCGGAAAATTTCGTCTACTTTCGGCGATCCTATATATTTGCATATCATGTACAAACCAATTTTTTTTTAAATTTTCATTCTCTCATGTTTTTCTTTTCTATCTCTCTCGCATAAATTCATACTTTCATTCTTAACTGTTCTAACACATTTACTACAATTTCTTTCTCTCTCTTACTCTCATATTCTTTCATACTAATTTCCTATTCCCTTTCATTCACAATCCTTACATTCATCCGTCTCGCCCCTCGACGTGCAATCAGCTGCCAGATAATTTATCTCGATTTTCTCCGTTTTTTTTGTTTTATATTCTGTTTTGTTTATATAGTTATATAACCATTTTCCCAACGATCTACGCACTAAATAGTTCAAATTTTTTGCACTTTTTCACCAACAACAACTGGATTGTTGCGCCGAATCTCTTGAGCGCCCATTTCTCTATAATCAAATTTGCAATCATGCTTGTCACTGTATCGATGCACAGAGCAGAACAGTCCTCCACAACGACATTCAAATCCTGTTAAAAGATCAAATTATAAATTAGTAAAATTAATTTAAAATATTTTCCTCAGTTTATGATATACATACCCGTCAAACCAACTTTTTTGCGACACACGGCGCAACGATTTTTCTTCTTCTTAGATTCTTTGTCAGTCTCTTTGCCATCAAAGCAATCATCTGCATCCCCACTACTCACAGATCCTTCTGCTACCGCTCCACTGCTTACACCTACTTCATTTTCTTGATCCTCCCTATTTATCTGATGAGGAACAGAAATTAAAAATATATAAATTTACAATTACTAAATAATACATTATTATTATTTTTATAAAATTAAATCATGTTAAAACTTTATTAATAATTTCTAATTTTCTTTTTTTAATTACATCCAAAATTTAAAATAATACTATTAATATTTTGATAATTTATTTTTATAATTTTTGTATAAATTTAATTTATGTAAAACTTACTTCTTTGGGATTGGGTAGATCTGTTGTTGATTGAGGTATGGTAGGAATGGTAGGTTGGGCTGTATTTCCTGTAGCTGCAGGACTACCGAAACCGCCCTGCAACGTACCAGCGTTACCAGAGACGGTCTGTGATGTTGGTACAGTGGCAGCTGATACAGGAGGTTGCTGCTTCTTTTTTAGATTTTCTTTATAACAAAGAGAACAAAGGCCATCTGTGGCTGGAGAGCCATAAAATCCACAACCGCTGCGACATAGAGCTTGCATAGGATTAGATTCTCGCTCCATTTTCTTTGTTTATCTCAATAGAACCTCAATGATTGAATAAGTTCTTATTTTTATCCTATTTGCAATTACTCGAAAGAATATCGAGCAAGTTGCAATCAACTAAGTAGGAGATAATTAATGTTGTCTTGCCACAGCTCGCTCTCCAGTTGTTCCTTCACGACCGCGTGTCACCATACATTCACCTATTAAAAATAGTTATTTAACATTTCTTTGTTTTTATGATATTATTTACATATAATCTTAAATTTAATATTATTCAACAAAATTTAATAAATAAACTAAATCTTTCCACTAAAGTAAAAAAAAAGAAAACAATAATACATAAAATAATTTTTTTATCTAAAAAAGACAAAATATAAATGTTATAATATATATTTTTAAAAATTTTTACATATGCAATTATTATTAAAAAAATGAAATTTATAATAAATTATTTAATTAATGAAAACCGTTTCTAATACATTAAATCTCATTGACAGTTTTAAAAAAATGAAAAAAATATAATTATCACTACACCATAATAGACACGTTACATTAGATGAGAAACATTGTCAACCACATCCGTGCTGCCTCAAAGAAATCAGATGCACAGATTTTCATGACGAATTTTCATTTGCACACACACGCGTATATATATATACACAACGGAGTCTATACATAGAATAGAGAAATCGTCAGCAGCAAAGCAGCAACGATATCTTGAGACAAGGGCCGTTCCCTCGTGCAGAACAGTTTTATCTTGAGAAGGAGAAAAGGAGAGAAAGAGAGAGTATATGTAATTCCTCCAAGGGCAAATAAAACCGAGAAATTGGACAACGAAAAGCAAACAATTGACGATGATGGATAATAGAAAAAAATAAAGGAAAAGAAAAAGGATTAAAAGGTTGGAATTTTTAACGCATTGTCATTATTGTCTGATTTTCGTATTCACAATAAAATCCAAATGGAAGAGGCGTGATCAAGGGAAACGTGATATTACTCACTTTCCAACACGCAGTCGTGTCGCAACCAACGCACAACATGGAGTAAGAATTCGTTCGAGGCATTTAAGTAGGTTCTTCGTCTATCCTTATCGTGTTAAGACACGTTAGATGACGTGCAGTTACGACCGATAGTCGACCGTCGGTCGGGGGAGCTCTCTTCCCTTCTGACTTGTGCTTTGTAATTCTCGGCGGCGCAATTCTCGCTTTGGCCACTCTCGATGCGCGCGTTCGCTTTGTCTCTTAAGACCCTTCTCTCTCTCCACAACTAAAACGAAATGTTACCAAATAACTCTTTCTCTCTTCCTTTCTTTCTTTCTCGTTCTCTCTCTTTCTTGCTCTTTGTATGCAACTTCGCGCTCGAGCGCTCGATATTACTTCAATCTGAGGAACCTGCAAGGACGGAGGAGAAACAACGATAACGACACGACGGGTCGAATGTTTTCATGATGGCGATCGTTTGGACGTACAGCCTCTGGGCGAACGTACAACCAACGACACAGCGCGCACACTTGCACGATAAGGTTAGGTACTATGAAACATAATTTACCGAGACTCGCCTTTTATCCAACACAAACGTTTGAAATTTAAAAATTCGAATGCTTTATTGTTTTTTTCTTTATACACTTCAAATATGCAAAAAATACGAATAAATAGAAAATTTAGTTGATAATTTAGATAAAACTTAAATTTCCGCCATTTATTTTCGTCACTATTTTTCTCTTTCTTACTTAAATACAAATATATATATATATATACGACTCATTCATTTCTCCTCTTTATTCTGCGCTTGCGTACATACGATCGTTCTTTACGTCATAATTTTTTCAATCTTTTGCAATTTTTTTCTGAAATGGTTTAACAATAATCACAATTCTTCATAGACAATTCATAATTAATACGCACTTCCATGGAATAGAATACTATTGATATTATTTTTTGTCAGGAATACTATATGATGATTATATGTGTTTAACATATTTCTCAAACAAATCTGTAGATGTCGTAGCGTTATTTCTCGATATTATCTATATAATATAATGTAACTAAAACTATATATTATTTAATACATGCCGACAAATATAAAGTGAAAGATTAGAAAAAGTTTATTATTTTATTTTCAATATCTTTAATTTCAAAGATATTTTATTTTTAATTTAATAAATTCAATAATAGAAAAAAATTCAATTATATTTATATTTATATAATTTATATAAATATGCTTAATAAAGAAATATAGTAACTATCTATTAAATTTAAATAATGATGAGATAATTACATTTTTTTGTGTTTTTTCAATTTTACTATATACTTAGAAATTTTCTTTCATATATCTATGTTTAAGAAGAAATTGTATGTACAAATAAATAAAACAAAATGGAAATTAATATTTTAATTATAAAATTAACATGATTGTTTTGTCAAATAATTAAAAAAAAAATCTCAATATCAAATATTAATATATTAACTATAAATATAAAGCATTCGACCTGTTGCTCTAGTTGTTTAACGGAATATAGAAAGAATGCATTTATTCCTAGTAAAAAATATTGAAAAAATATTAACTAATATAATTTATTGTATTTCAATGGAAATTTTCAGTAAGTAAAAGTATAAAAACAGAACTAAAATCCGTTAGTTCTTCAGAATTCATGACGTCACTATAATAATTGAAAGTTAAATCAAATGTAAAAAATGTATCAGGAAGTTTGTAAAGAAGAAAAGATATATAAAAAAAAATTTCCGATTTGGTCATATTTAATGTTTAAATGCAAATGTTTTATTTTTGTGTTTTGCTACATATGATAACCTTGTTACGTGACTTTGCTTTATTCAGATATGTAATTTATTTCTTTATATTCCAAATTATTTAAATATTTAAAAATTTATCAATGAATATTTAGAAAATATATGAGATAATATTATGAATTAGCAAATTGTTAAATCAATTAATAAAATGAAAATGATTAATAACAAAAAATCTAAAGTATGAATAAAAATTTTTGTTTACATTTGAATACAATAATAAACTAAAAATAAATTTTTGTATATTAAAATATTATAATATATATAATTGAAAATATTTTTTTGAGTTTTAATATTAATCGCAATCGTATAATAAATATTTAATCGCTCTAATATAAACTACTTAAAATACTATTTTAATGCATTTTTTATATATTAAAAATATTTTATATATTAAAATACTTAAATATCAATAATTTTTAAATTTCTAAATATTTATATTTCAATATTCATTCAAATCAACAAATATTAGTTATTTTTAAAAATATTTAATTTTTAATAATAATAAATACAATAATATATATAAAACATGAAAAATTCTTAAATCAAAATTATCAACTTATTTAATTTATTTACAACAAAATCTAATATATGTATAAGTATTCAAGAAATTTCATTTTTATAAACAACATGATGAAAAATTATTTAACTTATTAATTAATTAATAAAAATTTTATAACATTTTTAAACATTCATATATCTTTAAAACACATCATTTGATTATATCTTTAATTTTTTTTAATAATCAAATGTTTAAACACTTTTTTATAAATAAATATATTTTTTTGTTTAAAAAAAATAAATTAAATTTTTAATAAAATAAAATAAAATAAAAAATAAAAATAAATAAAAATTTTCAACACAGAAGTTACAAGACAAAAATGTTTTAAGACAAAAATTTTATAAACTCAAATTACCTTATATATATTTAATTTTATATAATTATAAAATTTTTTCTCGAAAATTCAAACTTAATAAATAATTTTTTAAGATATTTATTTCACATAAATTATTTGAAAGATTATTAATTATTATTTTTAATTAGTATAAAACATTCTCGATCTAATTCCAACATAACATATTTATCACATTGTCAATGACAATAATTGATATAACCAATTAAAAACATCGATTTTAATGAAAGTTCTATTTACACGAGCAAATAAAATAGAAACACTTTCTAACGGAAAGTAACTAGCTAATTCATTAAAATGCGCACAAATTTGGTATGCCAATCTTATTCAGAAATAATATTTAATTCCGATTTTAAATATGATTGTCTCCATGTTTGACTCATTTTTAGATAATGATACGTTTTCATTTCCCGTTTTACTTATCTACATTTATTTTTGTTTGAAATAGAAATGTTTATGTATTCTTCGAAAATCGAAACAATGAAAATTACTAATCGTTACCACTACTTCAAAACAAATAGTCACCATACACGTCATTGTACAAATCACGTTGATTTACTTACACGATTTAGTTACATGTTTATCCTAAAGCAACTGTTAAACAATTTAAATTTATTAAATGTATTTACATAATATATACATGTGATAATATAATACATAAGTATATTTCTTGATTCGAAGTTGTGCAATGATATATGACAAATAATCGATTATTTATAAAAATATGCGATAATATATATTATTATATTAAATGTAATTGATTTTTATATATTAAAAATAAATAAATATAATAATTTTAATTAATTGATTTCTAAATATAAACAAAATTTTATAGAGCATGAATTTGACCTTGATTTAATCTCAAAAGCATTGAGAATCGATTAATGGAAATGATTAAAATTAATAAATATTAGTCATAGACTCCAATCTTTATAAATATATAATTATGAAATAGTCTAAATGCAAAAAAATTATAAAATATTCTGAAAGTTTATTTTAATTATAAAAGTTATCTTTATTAAATTTAACTTAAATAACGTTAAGATAAAAATATTAAATTCAATTAAAATAAAACAAAAAGAGATGATAGGTAAGGACGATCTAAAATTGTACTTGCAATTGTATTTTGGTTGTCAGTCAGCTATATTCTATTCTCTTATTGTTCTTATGAAATTCAACTGTACAGTCCAATGACACGTGGTAAGAATATCTTTTAAAGTACGACGTATATGGTCGATGATTTTAAATCGCATCCGTTGAAAATGATAAACGTCTGACTCATGTTCTATCGAAATATTTTATAAAAAATTATATTTATAATTTAAAACATGTGAAAAATTTATTAAAAAAAGAAATTCTCATAATTAAAAATACAGGAATAAGATCATCTGTGCTCGCAAATTAATACTGACGATTGATGAAATTTTCCTACGAAAGCTATCACATACGATATTACTTTGCTTATAATTCTTCATGCAGCCATTTTACAATATCACTCATCACCAGCGGAAGAAAGCGAGGTGTGGCTCGGGTGAGGTTAATCTACATTGACATACAGCATCAACCTGCTAATCATTTCTATTGCAACATTTATCTAATAGAATTTTTTTTTTTAAATCAAATTTCAAGTAAGTATGTTAATTTTATGTCGTTAGCGAGCAATTAAATCGTCATAAAATTCATAAAAAATTGGCAACCAATAAAATGATAAACTTTTTTTCTTCATTGGTATTATTGTCTATCATATATACTCGATTCTGTATCTCGATTCATGAATGCCATCTACAGATTTTCCGAAATAAAAGTTATAGTTATTTCTTAATATTTCGAGAGGTTATATCGAATTGACTACAGGCGCGATATAGAAAGGAATAGCTAGATTGCTTAACATTCACTCGTAGAGATAGTGATAAATTTGAAACAAACCTCAATTCATTTAAAACGCATCATGGAAGTTTTTGAATTGTTTTGATTATCAACAGATAAAAATTCTGAAAAATTTAATTGTATTCTAACGAATTTTAAACTTTTTAGAAAAGAAGAAAATCATAACCTCAGAACGCCATCTAAATTTATTTGAAATTGCAAAGAAAATGAATTTTTAATTTGAAAATGATACAAACATATTTGAAAATTCGATTTGATACTTATATTCTCTGACTAACATATAACAAAAAAAAAATAACAATTATTAGAAGTACACGGAATATACAAAGGGTTAAAAGAAGGGTTAAAAGAAGACCAATGCGGATGTGGATACATGAAAGGGGGTATGAAAATCGCGGCAGGGGAAGTTAAAATGTATAAGTGTGCATTTGCGTTTGAATCGCGTCGGCGCTGCTATCGTGTAGATACACGGTCATACGCATGCATCTACGCACGCAACACGCAGTCAAGAAGCACGAAGAAATGGAATGAGTATTAAATATATGATTCTCATTCTTGAGAATACGCACCTAGTTAGAAATTGCGTTGTTTCCTTTGTCCCATGTAATATATATTCTACGTTGCGTCGGACATCTTTTTATGAAGAGAAACGCCAAGACAGAGGATTAAGAGAAGAATGCAAAGCGAATGGAACGAATCAAGAACCAAGCTAGATTTCACCGTGATCAGACGAAAAAATAGCGTATGGTTACGCGAACGTATTTCACAGGTATTCGATAAAAATAGTCGTCGTTGATGAGCGAATAGTGTGATTGCGACACTTACCAAGAGCTGTTGCGGTGTAGCAGGGCGCAATATGTCAGCTGACTTGACGTGTGACCGATCGTAATCCTGCACCAATATCCGACATAATTCTTAGCCGAACATCAGTTCCTTCAGTCAACAAATCTAGTTAGTTTTAGTTACTGTTTCGCGGTCTACACTCACAAAACACAAATATCGTCTATCTAGTAAACTAGTTTTTGCACCAAACTTTCAATTATGAAATAGACGAACCAAAGCTGCGGCCACGGGAACAAATACTGCCAATGACTGGTGTAAAGTTAGATCTCTTACCCTCTCCCACTCTGTGCACAAAGTATTCAGAACCAGGACTAGCAAGCTCAAATGGAAACTGCGTTGAGTTCAATTTGTATGTTTCTTTCGTCACCAGATGACGCCATTCGCTTAACATGTTTTGAAAATGATTGCTTAATGGTATAAAAATCTATACTAAACAACTTTTTTAATTTTATGAAAATTTATATTTGGTATTTTAAACTGATTATAATGAATTAATATAATATTAAAATTTAATATATTATATATATTAATTAAAGTTATAGTTTCTTGAAATGAAATAATGAATTTGTTGACATAAATTTGTTTTGATTAATATTATTATTTTAATTAGATATTTTTGCTATAAAATAATATAAAATCTTTTATAGATTATGATTTTTTTCATCAGAAATTAATAATAGAAAATATTTTTATCTTTTAATTATCAGGTTATGATACATGTTTGAAATTACTTGTTTATAAAGGATAGTTTCTATTGCTATAACTATATTATAAATAGTAAATCTAGTATAAATTATTAAGTTAAGCTTTATTTAATTAATTCTGTGAAATATATTTAAACAAAAATGAATGTATATTTAATACAAAAAAATTTTTCAAAATAAATCTATTGAAAATTCATATATTTGAGAAATGTAGTTTATAATTGACATGCAAAGTACTTTTATTACATTAACATGTCAGTGCATATTACGTTTACCGCTCAAATTGGTTAGTTTACTTGTTCAAACATTTGTGAGCGTTCCTTTTTTCCTTAAATACAAATTAATGCAATTATTTTATAACAGTTGTATTGGCATAAAAATGAGAGATATAATTCATATAATTTTAATATATGTTATCAAGGCGAATTCATAGCTGAATGATTTAAAATAAAAAACATACGTAAGAAAAGATTTTTAAATTGAAGTGTGGATGATATAAGTACATTATTATTTATAAAACGCCAAATCGTGAAAGAAGATGAACACACCACAATCAAATAAAAAAAAAGGCAGAAGTAGAATTGGTGTTAATAATGATAACACTAGTCCTGCGAACACTGAAGCATTAAGTACACAAGAAACATCAAAATTTGTTTTGGTATGAAATATATTTTAATATTTTAATTAATGCTTAAAAATTACAAAAAGATAATAAAGTAATATTTTACTAATTTATAAATAAATATATTTATAAATATATTTTAAAAACATATATGAAATGTAAAATTTAATTAATATAAAAAGCAATATATTTTTATTTATAAATAAAAAAAATATTATTTGAATTTATATATTTAATTAATATATAAAGTTATTTTAATTATTATTGAATTACTTAATCTTTTAATAATACAATGAAATTATAAAGAAATTTAAAATAGACAATTCAAAAAATAATTATTTTTTTATTATACAAATCTTTAAAATTCTAAATCTTTTAAAAGTTCTAATATCAAATATAAAATATATATTTTTTTAATTTTTCATTTTTCACTAAATTTTAACAATTGTTATTGCACATATAATTATCTTTTTAGAATTCTTTTTAAGATTTACTTAAAAGAATTAAAGATTAAAAGACAAAATTTAAAATAAATTATAATTATATTTAACAAAATAAAAAAAAATTTTATTTTTATTTTATTTTAATATTTGAGAATTTTTGAAATGAATAATTTTATAATGTTATTTATGTTTATGCTTATATTTATATTTAAGGTAAATCCTATTGGTGAAGATGCAAATAAGATATTTAAAATTGGAATCACAGATTCAATACCTATTATTTCTTTGGAAAGAAATAATTTTGATGAAAAAAATATTCAAAAAGGATATATCGCACCAGATAAAGATAAAGAAGAGAAAAACATCCTTAACTCTTTACCTGTAGCTATGGTAAAAGAAATAGATGAATATGAACAACAGTTAGGCGAAGCTGAAGCACTTCCAAATTCATATATTAGATTTATGGAACGTAGTGGTGAAGAACTTGATGGTATATAATTTTTTTATTTATAATTTTTTTAAGTATATTTAGAATTTGTAAATGATTTCAATTTATTTGAATTTCTTTCTTTTTTTAGGAGAAGTAGAATATGATTTAGATGAAGAAGATACTGCATGGTTATCAATAGTAAATGAAAGAAGATTAGCTTCAGGGCTTAATCCACCTTTAGAACCTGATACATTTGAATTATTAATGGATAGATTAGAAAAAGAATCTTATTTTCAACAACAAAGTAATGGTGGTGGAGGAATAGCAGCTGATGAAGATGCAGTTTGTTGTATTTGTATGGATGGAGAGTGTCAAAACAGTAATGCTATACTATTTTGTGATATGTGCAATCTTGCTGTTCATCAGGATTGTTATGGTGTACCATATATTCCTGAGGGACAGTGGTTATGTAGGAGATGTTTGCAAAGTCCATCACGAGCAGTTGATTGTGTTTTATGCCCTAATAGAGGTGGTGCTTTTAAACAAACTGATCGCCCAGCTACATGGGCTCATGTTGTGTGTGCTTTGTGGATACCAGAAGTCAGATTCGCCAATACTGTATTTCTGGAGCCTATTGATAGTATAGAAAGCATACCTGCTGCACGTTGGAGACTTACATGCTGTGTATGTAAACGTAGAGGATCAGGTGCTTGTATTCAATGTCACAAAAGTAATTGTTATGCTGCATTTCATGTAACATGCGCACAACAAGCTGGTTTATGTATGCGTATGAGGACAGTGCAACCTACAAATGGAGAACCAATGTTAGTTCAAAAAACAGCTTATTGTGAAGCTCATACACCATCAGATTATCAACCTTCCACTAATCCTGCTGATGCAAGACGAAGAGCAATTGCAAATAAAAAAAGCTCTTCTGCTCCTGTTATTTCTATTCCAACCATACCACCGGAACGTATTAAGGAAATTGCTAGGTAACAAACAAAAATTCTTTATAATAAATGTTAAAAAATTAAAAACATTATTGATATTTTATAATACTAGCTTAGCTGAAGGGTTGCCTAAACGAAGTCAACTGATACAGCGTCTTATAGCATATTGGACTTTAAAACGACAATACAGAAATGGTGTACCACTTCTCAGAAGACTTCAGAGTTCACACCCACAATCTCGACCACCACCACTTGGAGAAAATTCTTCACCACCACCAGACAGTGAATTACGTGGAGAATTGTATCGTCAATTAAAATATTGGCAATGTTTACGTCAAGATCTTGAGCGGGCTCGATTACTTTGTGAATTAGTACGCAAACGAGAAAAGTTGAAAAAAGAATTATTCAAAGTGTAAGATTTCGAATTAATTTCATGATAAAAAAATATAATATAATTATTAAAAAAATATATAATAAATATTCAAATATTAAATTTATTTTACAGAAAAGAAAAATGTTTATGGTTCGAATTACGTCCACTAGAAAGTATTTTACGTTCATTGTTAGAAGCAATTAAAATGAAAGATATAAATGATGTATTTGGACAACCTGTGAATACTAAAGAAGTTCCAGATTATTTAGAAATTGTATCTCATCCTATGGATTTATCTACTATGCAGGTAATTAATTTTATTTTAAATTATTTAAAAAAAAGTTAGTTAAATTATATATATGATTTTTATTTTTTAGACAAAAATAGAAAGACAAGAATATGATACTATTGGAGCTTTTGAAACAGATTTCAATTTGATGGTGAATAATTGTTTAGCTTATAATCGCAAAGACACTATGTTCTATCGAGCTGGAATAAAAATGAAAGAACAAGGTGGTGTTCTTATAGAACAAGCTCGTAAAGATTATCCTGAATTAGATCCTGGTGAAAATGAGCAAACAGTTTCTAAATCCAGAAAAAGGGATCGTAATAATAGAAACCGTGGAGAAATTGAATTACAGTCTGGAGAAAAAGAAATAGGAGGAGGAGGTGTGAATAGAAGAACAGCAGTTCTTTTCACTCGCAAAGCAAGAGCAAGAGCCAGTAGAAGTAATCAAATGTTCAGTTTGGAAGATGACAAAAAAAAACAAAGTGATAGTTTTAAGATTTACAGGCATGTATTATTTTTTTTATTGTAGATAGTCGCATTTCAAATAAGGATTCAATATATATAATAATGTAAAATTAATTTTTATAGAAGTGGAACAATGGACAGTGATGTGGGAGAAGGTGAAAGTCAATCATCGAGTTGTAGCAGTTGTTCAACAAGTAGGTCCACTACTCCTGATTTAGAAGAAGAAAAACAGAGACAACAAGAAGCAAATGAAGCAAAAAAAGAACTGGAAAGCAAGGAAATAATCGCCAATAATGGTCTAGAAGCTCTTCAGCTTGTATGGGCTAAATGCCGTGGTTATCCCTGGTATCCAGCTCTTATAATAGATCCTAATACTCCTAGAGGCACTGTACATAAAGGTGTACCAATACCAGCACCACCAGATGATGTATTAGCGCTTGCTGTTAATTATAAAGAACCAGTATTTCTCGTTCTTTTTTTCGATACCAAAAGGACATGGTAAGAACATTTTTTATTTTTTCATAACTTAATTTTTGTAAAATGATAAGATAATTTAATTTTTTTATATAAAATTATAAATAATTATTACAGGCAATGGCTACCAGGAGAAAAATTAGAAAAACTTGGAGTTTCCCAAGAATTGGATGAAGCAAAACTAATTGAATCTCGAAAACCCGCGGATAGAAAAGCTGTTAAAAAAGCGTATCAAGAAGCACTCCATTATCGTAAACAAACTCATAATACATCGTTGAATACCGTATCAACCAGTTAATTAATTCTGGTCTAATTAACATAAATTCTAATAAAATATTAATTATTAATCGTAATTATAAGGTAGTACTTTTTAAAAATTTGTAAGTATGTAAAAAGTATGTAATATTTTGAAATATGAAAATGTAACTTATAGATTTATCTTTGAGTCACATTTTTTTCATAATTTATATTTTTAAATAATGACTGAAATGAAATAAAAAGAATCATTGTGTATATAAAATTTCTGATATCTAAGTATATTTTTATATTTTTTGTAGTTTTTTGTCGACTTATACATATATAGCAAAAAAAAGAAATTTATAAAAAAAATATATGCATTTCTGCTGTTGGCTTATTGGATCAATTTTTCCTGCGGTTTCACATTTTTCTCCACATATTCATTTAATTCTTTAGCATATAAATCCAGTCTCTGAGTCATCTGGAATTAAAAAAGAAAAAGAAAAATATTAAAAAGAAAATTTAATGATTCATAAAATATAAATTTGAAATAAAAAAATTAAAAATATCTAATATTTCAACTTACTCTCAGACACCACAAATCTTTCATTTGACGACACAAATTTAAATCCAATTCACAAACAAGAAGACCATCTTTACATCGACTTAAACCAGGAGTTCTAGCTCCATCAGGAGCAGTGATGTAACTAGATCCATAAAAGTGCCCGAAATCATGATGAGCAGGAGCTCCATCACCAGATGTAAATTCATTAGGAAATATTTCAGTTCCAACGCGATTAATAGCACAGGTATAGTAACTATTTGCTATTGCTGCACATCTTGCTTCAATGGACCACAGTGGCTCAGATGTATGGCTAGTAGTCGCTGATGGATTAAAGACAATCTAAACATAGAAAATTTATATTTTTTTATGTACAAAAACTTTGATTAACTTGTAAAAGTTTAATGAATTTTACCTCAGCACCATTCAATCCATACATCATCCAATTTTGGGGATGATGTCGACCATAACAAATATTAATTGCTATACGTCCAAAACATGTATCAAAGACAGAATGACCTGTATTTCCTTCCATATAGTAAGTAGATTCGTTAAAGTCTCCTACACGAGGAATATGATTTTTCCTACTCTTTCCAAGCACATTTCCATCATTATTAATCACAACAGAAGTATTCCATAAAGTTTCACTATTCATATTATCTCTCTCAAGAATTGGACATACAATAACCATTCCATGTCGTTGAGCAAGCTCACACATGAGTATTATAGTTGGTCCATTTTCGGCATCTTCAGCTAATTCGCACCAGGGATATTTCTCTCTGGTACAAAAAACAAATGGCATAGCTACGGCACAGATGAATATTTTTTTATTATAAATAATTAAAATAAATAAAAGAATAAAAAAAAATTTTTTTAAATTTAAACTTAATTGTTTTTAAATTGTTAATTTTATAAAAATTTAGATAAATTATAAGAAAAATGAAAATTATTAAAAGAAGATTTTTATCTAATCTTTTTGAACTAATTTAAGACTTGAATTATACAATATATGCAAAATTATCATCAAATCAAATAGATATTAATAAAGCATGATAAATATTTATTCAGAATATAAAATTAAACTTTTAATTTCATTTGTATTTAATATAAACTTATAAGTATATTTTTTTATTATTATAATTTTTTTTAATCATCCTATTAATTCTGAAACATACCCCAAGCTTCTTGAAGACAGAGTATATTAACACCACAAGTTGCGGCGTAATCGACATATTTTTGAATTTTTTGATGCAAAGCATTTCTTTGTTTCTGCAAAGGTTCTGTAGTTGGTAAAACTATAGAATGTTGAATTAAGCCAACACGAACAAGACGCGGAGGACGTAATTGCTCTGTGACGCTACCACCCACAATATATCCTTGAACATCGAGATCTTGACTTCCATTCCATTGCGGAAGATTTAGGGATCTATAATAAAAATATTTTATAATAATTAAAATAGTTTTATGTATGTATATATGTATATAATTATAATAATAATATTAATTATAAATTATATAAATATTAATATAATTAATATAATAATTAATAATTTAATACAACTATAATTAAAAAAAATGAATCGCATATATAATTTTTCTTATATAAAAATTATTATATATTAATATAATAATTTTCAAGTTTAAAAACATTTTAAACATTTTTGTTATTTTCTAAAATTAATAATGAAATTTAATGTTTTTTGTAAAAAATTATTTAATACCTAGTATATAATTGTAAAAACATAGTTGTTTTATTCGATATAAATAATATAAATATTCGATATAAATATTTTTTTAATCAAAATTTTCAATTAAATTAAATTAGTAACTAAAATCAGTATTTTTTGGTGCATGATACATTCAACATATATACATTCTTTATTCGTGCATGTAAAGTTTAAAAATATTTCGCGCCAAATAATTTCACAATATATTAAACAAGTATGATATATTGAAGTATTTAAATTAAAATTAAATTCAGAAAGAATATAAAGAATTGATTATTTATATTTTTCAATTCTAGATATAATTATTAAAAGTAAATTTAAATAAATAAATAATAAATCTTACTGTAATTCGCGGCCATATAAAAGGCGTTTTACTTCAGCTAACTCCTTCTCTGGAAGATTTTTTTCCAAAATATCTTCAAGTGTTTGATCAAACATTACGTTATTCATTTTATTATGAAAAATTTTTAAGTTTCGATACTATTTAAGGTTATATACTATACAATTCTAATTCTGATGACGTTCCGTCACAGATTTCGAAGAATTGTGAGACAACGCGGATTTTATGTAATATATATCAATGATATGTATAAACATAAATCAGTGTAACAAGAGTTAATCTTTATCAATAAATTCTTTTTAATCAGCATAATTAATTATCATGGAATGACTGCCATAAATTCTTTTAAAACATATCTGACATACCTGTTTATAAGAAAGAGATGAAAAATTTGAATGTACAATGTAATCAACAGTTAATTAATCATTTTCATTATATATAGATACGTGTTTATTTTTTACTTTATGATATCTACTTTAAAATGAAAAGAAAATGAAAATTTGATATTTGTAATGTCTCGTTTTTTTAATATTTCTAGAAATATTTTTCTTCATTTCACATAATAAAATCTACAATATTTGTACAGATAAAAATGAATAAAAAATATAATGAATAAAAATATAATATAATACAAAAAATATAATAGATCTCATAATTTCTTAATTTAAAGGTTCTATTAAATTATTAAATAAATATTACTATCATAAAAGATTTTAAAAAAAAAAATTTATTTTATTAATGATGTTTTTATATATCTCTAAAAAAATATAATTTTAAAATAAGAATTTAAAAATATTTAAAATATATTTAAAATATATAATGATTGCTTTATTAATAATTATCGTGAAAAATATAATTTTAAAATAAAATAATTTAAAAAACTTGAAATATGTATTAAATATACTTTGTTTGCTTGTTGTGAAAAAAAATATAATTTTAAAATAAAGTATTTTTTTTATTTTATATTTTATATTTATAAAATATATAATATTTAATTAATTAAATTTATATTTAAAATATATAACTATTTTGTTACTTGAAAAATTTTATAACTCTCATTTTGAACGACTCTCATATCTAAAATAAAATAAGAAGAAAAAAACACTTAGTAAGTCATAAAAATTTTCCATTAAAGTTAACGAAATATTTTTTTAAGTAATCTTATATATTAAATGTTATTATTGAGGGATAATATTTACATGACAAAAAATCTTATTGATAGAGTGCAATCAGGTTATCTGAATATTTGAATCGTATTTATTACAACTACATTCACAACTTTCATGAAAAAATAAATTTTATATTGAAATATTATATATAATAAATATATTATTTCTTTTTTAATTTAAAAATATTTTGTTATTAATATTTTCCTAATACAAAATATAAAAATATTTTTACTTTTTAAATTTAAATGTAATAATTTTAGAATATATTATTATTGATAATTATTGATAACAATTATTAATAAAAATGGTATCGATAATTATCTAAAATATCACTGTACGAAATTTTGTTAATAAATCATACACAATAAATCTAACAAATATAAGAAAATATAAAAAATAAAAAAAAAGTTCTTATTGTATTGAAATTAATTATTAATAAATTATTTATCCATTATCATAATAATTTATTATTAATATTATATAATTTATGAATTTATGAATGATTGGTGTAGTAAGTGTTTTATTTTCTATTTTTAGGTTAAAATAATCTACATTTAATAACGGACAAACAAGAAAATAATTTGAAAAAATAAAAACTAACGAATAAATTTGAAGAAAAATAATTTAAATAATTGCAAAAATGGCATTGAATAGAGAACGGCGTACAAATGCAGGAAATAAAATGGCAAAGTTATTAAATGAAGAAGAAGAGGATGATTTTTACAAAACAACTTATGGAGGTTTTGATGAAGTGGAACAAGATCATGACTATATGTTAATATCATTTATATCTATTAATTTTTTAAAAGCTTGTTTAATTTTTAATTTAATTTTTATTTAATTTTTTTTTTTTAATTTAGGGAGGAAGATGAAGCAGAAGATGAAGTAGATTCAGATTTTAGTATAGATGAAAATGATGAACCTATTTCTGATACCGAACAAGAGGGACCAAAAAAAAAACGTAGATTAGTTACAAAAGCTTACAAAGAACCTAAAGTTCAATCCCAATTACCATCTAAAGAGAAAAAAGTTAGGCAACCAAGGCAAAGAATTTTTAATGAAAGTACAGGTGAATATTTTTAAAATAAATATTATCAAACATAATATTAAATCATGTAGACAGAAATTAAAATATAATTCTTTATAGAAAGAAAATCTATCCGTCGTTCTACTGCTGCTAAATCAGCTGCAACACAAAAGAGATTAACTGAAAGAAATGAACATCAAAAAAGGAGAACAAGAGTCATAAGACATGATACATGGAAACCTACTCAAGAAGAATTATTGAAAGAAGCATTGCAAACTGAACAGATTAATATGAAATCATTAGGTGAATTGCTTAATTTTTATTAAAAAATTTACAATAGAATTTCTATATTTGCAAAAAATTAATTTCAAATAATAAAGAAATTTATGTATATCATATATGATATACATATTTATGGTAATATTTTATTTTTGCTTAATTTAAAAAATTTTTTATTATTTACAGAAAAATATCAGAAATTAGAAAATGAAAAGAAAAATACTAGAACTATAAGAAAAGCCCAAACAGGACCTATGATTAGATATCAATCATTAGCAATGCCTATTATGATACTTTCTGAAGTAAATTACAATAAAGAAGAAGATAAAATGAATATAGAAAAAGATGAAAAAAATACAAATTTTGAAAATAAACGTCCAGATGAAACAATAGAAAAGTAAAGTATAACTTTTCTGTTATTTCAAATAAAAATATAATAAAACTTAATTTTTTATTTATTTCAATTAATTTATTTATTTCACAGTATAACTGTAAAACCAGAAAATGGCACAAAGGATATTACTAAAAAAGAATCTTCTCAAAGTTCTAACAAAAGCAAATATTATTATGAACAAACAAAAGGATATTATGAAAGAACTTTCATTACGTTTGAAAATGAACAATTATTTTCGGAAGCATTCAAAAAATCTTCAATACAGAAATCACCAATAAAACCCTTATGTGCAATTACAAGGTGAGATACTAGATTAATTTATTTAATATATTTTTATAATAGATAAAATATTGATAAATTTAAATATAAAAAAAAAATATAGGTTTCCAGCAAAATATTTAGATCCTATGACTCATCTACCATATAAAAATGTACAAACATTTCGACTATTACGTGAAGCATATTATCAACAATTGGAAGCTCGAACAGATATTAATGATACATCACAAAGCCCAGATTTATTACGATGGCTTGAATGGAGACAAAAGAATCATGGTGGTTCAGCTCAGAGAAATACAGTACGTCTTGAACCAGCATCCGCGAGTATGCTCACGTAATTTTTTTTTGTAATAATAAAATCAAATAATATATTTATTTTTATTATAATTCAATATTTTTAATATTTTCAAATTCAAATTTAATTTAAAAATATAAAAATATAAAATTTTTTAATGAAAAAATAGATTTAATAATTATAAATAGATTCTTAATAACAAAAAATATGTTTTAAAAAAGAAAATAATGACATAATTTTGTAAATAATGATATAATTTATTATTATATATAATATTTAATTATTGTGAGTTGAAATTCTATATAATCTTAAAATTATAATAATATTATAATGTATCTATTTATATAAAGTTAAAATATATATATTTTTGATCATCGAAACAAAAATTGTACAATACACATATATGTTCAAAGCAAAAGTGATTTTATTAATAAAATTATAAAGTACAAAGCATTGGATTAATAAAATGTCGCCGATTCGGTGACCACTTCATACATGTGTGTATGTATGTGTGTGTATGTGTGTGTATGTGCACGCGCGCGCACGTGTATGTATATACATATATTAAATCAACGGAGAATAAACTGATCTCGATAACATTTTTAAAAATTCATTGTTCTAAATATCCCATTTGTACAAATTAGGGGATATTTAAAAATCTCTTTAAAGATAATATCTAATAATCTAATAATAGAAAATAAAAAACCAAAGAATTTAAATATATTTCTTTCATCATCTTAATTATTTATCGCACGCACTCTATTATAAAAGTATAACTTTTATTATCTTGCTTCAAAAAGAACTCACATCTTGAAAATTGATTATTCAGTCAGAAAATATATTGAAAGTGAAATGACATTTCTTGCATTCATCATATATAATTTTTAAATTCACTTTTTTCTTTCTATTAATTGCTCATTGTATTATTTTCAAAAATAAAAATTATTATTCGTTAAAATATTTGAAATAAAATTCGTATTTTTATTGAAATATTACTGGTGATTGCCTCTTTGCTTATATTATAATTTATAAATAAATTTTAATAAAAAAAATAATTATATATATATTACTAATTACAAATAGCACTGTTAAAAAAACATAAATTTTAGTATATTTCATAAATTTTTTAATGATTGAATGATATTGAATTCTTTTAATTAAAAATAAACTATTATTATTATTCTTCCTCATAAAACAATTAGAAAGTTATCATTTAAAATAATACCATATCAATACGAGATTAACCCAACGATTGATATTGCACGAATCATCGAAGCCTCGCATAAATACAACGAGGTGTAGACATTTCAATATTTCAACATTTTACTCACTCTCTATTTATTTATCAAGATACAACGAGAACTTGTAATGATAACAGATTACATTGCGACTACACACATCGAAGCAATAATTATTAGACGCCTAGAAAGTACGATATGATCTCGCAAATAATGTACTTTCATGTCTTATGACATTTATATGCGCTAAAATTTTTTGATATTTTTCCCATTCAGAATAAAAATAAAGTACTTTTGAAAATACTTTTTTCTTTAAATGACAAGCTCTTTATCGTATTTCAATATTAAAACTACGGTGCAAATTCAAAAGCAGAGAGTGAGCAATAATAAAAGTATTTTAAGTCCGATTCATTTTCTTTTTTGTTTTCTTTATTAAGCTTCTATTTTGTTTTCTTTTTTTTTTTGTGTTTCTTTTATATCGTGCATTTGCATATTTAATCGCAAGATTTCATGTATTATAATGTAAATTATTTTTGAAACATTTGGCCAATTTTTACAAAATGTTATCAGTTGTAAGGATGAAAAAAATTTACAGATATTTTATTTTTAAATTTTCAAATTTGAATTGAAATATCTTTCATGTAAATTATTTTTTAAAATATAATTAATGTTTTGTATTTCTCTATCTAATTTTTGTTACAAAATTAGAGTTTTTTGAGTATAATTTTAGTGAATTTATTCATACAATTTTTATAGAATTAATTATAAATATTAAACTACATTTTGTAAATTTTATTTTTACTTTCAATATTTATCATCCATTCTTTTTATCCTTACAACTTGTATAATATGTATTTCTTCAAGAAGTGACCAAACATTTCAAATATTTTGTGTAACGTTTATAAATCGTTCGCTTCTACGTTTCAAGTAGAATAACATATGTATTACAAAGAAGCAGTAATACAACATTGATTTATCATAACGTATCAGAGGTAAAGATAGTAGAGAGGAAGATAGAGACAGGATAAATTTCGGAGATAGAATTAGTGCGTACGTTTAACTCTTTATCCTTCGTAAATATCGATGACGTACTTAGATTGTATGTTTTATGGTGTTTATGGTTTTTTACTCGAATATATCAGGCTATTGTGTATACATGTCATTAGATTTTCTCCAATCCTCAATATTCGTTTCCTAAATAATCCGAAGGAACTTGAGGAATTTTTATCAACTTCATCATTGTATTTTTAACGGGAATATGAATAACAAAAATTAGCTTATCCCTAAGTAATTAAAAAGATAAAGATAATGGTGACGATGGTGACACTGATAGTAACAGTAACAATAACAATAATAATAATAAAAATAATAATAATAAAAATAATAATAATAAAAATAATAATAATAAAAATAATAATAATAATAATAATAATAATAATAGTAATAGTAGTAGTAGTAGTAGTAGTAGTAGTAGTAGTAGTAGTAGTAGTAGTAGTAGTAGTAGTAGTAGTAGTAGTAGTAGT